CTCTCTTTTTCTCATTCTCTCGCTCCCTCCCTCTTTCTTTTTCTGTCTCTCTCACTTTCTCTCTCTCTCTATTTCGCTTAAATGTGACATAAAATAACCATCACATTTCTTGTCACCAACTGAGATGTCTTTCGTAAAAAATATGGCAGCTTAGTTTTTGAGGACATATCTCAAACTATACCAATAACTAATTATAAGAAAGCAGGCTTTTTAAGGGTGGTAGTGTTTTGATGAAGTGTCTCCTCACGTTGTCTCCCTGCTTCAGGTGGTGATGCCCCTCATCAACTCTAACGATGAGTTCCTCAAATCTATAGCCATGTTGACATTAGCTTACATTGTGGAGGAGGAGGAGAATGCCAAACTTATTGATGAAACAGGTGAGAGTGAAATAGAGACAGAGAGAGAGAGAGAGAAAATGAGAGAGAGAGAGTTTGAGAGAGAGAGAGAGAGAGAGATAAAACACTGTTAGGATTATTGGGTCAATATAAGTGTTATACCAGGGTGAAATATGGCTCAAACCAAGAATACTGTGGACATGAATGGTCCAAGTCAATTGTATTGATGACATGACTGGACAAGGTCAAAGTATAATATGGAGATGACTGGACAAAGTCAGATTATAACATGGTCATGACTGGGCCAGGTCAGATTATATTTTTGACCTGACTGGACCAGGACAAATTGTACTTATAAATTCACTGGACCTGGTTGGATAATTGGATTTTATTGTCTTCATGACTTGATCCAGTTGGATTATACTGTCTACATGACAGTAACGGGCCAGATTATACTGGCTACGTGACTGTAGCAGGTCACATTATACTGTCTATGTGACTGTATCAGATCAGATTATACTGTCTTTGTGACTGTAACCGGTCAGATTATTCTGTCTATGTTATTTTAACAGGCCAGATTATACTGTCTATGTGACTGTAACAGGCCAGATATACTGTGGACATGACTTGACCACATCATATTATGTTGTGGATATGACTTGGCCAGGACTGACTTTTATAAATGTGACACACGGAATTTATTACCTTTTATATTGTGAAACAGTACCAGTTGTTATTACTTGTATTATGCAACCAATAACCGAAATCTCAAAAGACCACATTTGCGGCTCTCACTGAATTAAATTGTATGCCCCATTATTTTTTAGGGAAAAAAAACTCATATAATATGTGTTAAGAAAATAAATAGTTTTGATATAAGTTAATTTTGAGTGTAAAGCACATGTGACTGCATACCTGATGCTATCTATTTCATCCAATCTCAAGTCCTCATGGTTTCCAATGCAGCAATAAAGTTTGAATTTATTTGTTTTAAATGTATTTATCAGACACAATAAAGAATATTGTCACTTGGATTCACAAGGCCCTGGAAAACAAACAGAAGAGAAGGTTTCGAGGCTTTACACCATGGGAGCTAACTCAAGGATTAGCAAAGCTGGCAGTGAATGACTCAAATAAAGCCAAGGTGAGTTGGCAGCCTGATACAACTATTGAAGATTACACAAAATCAGGTCTTTTTTAAAAATATTTTTCGCTAAGAGATTTCAAAAGAAAAGTGAATGAATATATTGTTTCTATGTTTTATTAGGCTCTTGTTCCTAACAGGTTTGTTAAATGTATTTCTAGAATAGGGCCAGATATATGATGCAATATTACCAACCATTTTAATTTGTATTAAAATTTAAGTAAATACTTGGATTCCTCAAACTTTATTCCATGGTACCGTTTGCTCAGGGGTGGCAAATGTTTTGTGTGGAGGGCCACATTTGCAAATGTAATGCTATTGGGGGAGGCCGTATGTATATTATGTTCAATTTTTATATGTTGATAAACATTTCTCTATATTAAAATCAGTAAATTCGCATTTTAGCATTGCATCACAAAGTCAAGGACTGTTTAACAAAATAGAAAATAAGAATGAAATTTGATTAAAAGTGTTAAAACAATCATAACGGTACATGAAATAATGTAAAATCAACTAAATAACTTAAAAATAAAGTAATTTTTTTTTATTGCTAAATGCCTTCCAGGGCCGCATAATATCAATAGCCGGGCTGCATGCGGCTCCCGGGCCGTATTTTGCACACCCCTGTGTTAGTTTATTTCAGAGCGTGGGAGAACTAGTCAATGTAACTTAACTAATGCATATCTCTAGTTTATTTCAGAGTCTGTAAGAACTAGACATTGTAACTGAACTAATTCCCATATCTCTTCATCCTCTCTATGAAAATACATATAATGACACTATTTTTTCATTGAACTTATGGAGTAATTTTTTCGCTACCAGATCATTGAGGAAGGGGCCCTAGGAGACTTCACTGAAATGTTACAGCACACAGATGTGAGGGAGCAGGCCAGTTCAGCCGAGTGCTTGTGGACTCTAGCCTTCGACAAGACAGTTCGTCAGACAGTCGTCGAGTTCCCTGACCTGGTACCTGCCCTTGAGGCCTTGAGGAGTTCTGAAAATGCCTTGGTGAAAAATAATGTCCTTGGAGCCCTTTGGATGATCAAGGGAGAGAATGACCCATCTGCTAGTTCTGCACGTAAGATTCAAATCATGAAGGGTGTCCGAATTGTGATGAGCAGCTTCAGGGGGGGGAGGGGGGGGATAAACTATTTTGTTTATCACTAATACATACACGATAAAGGTTTTTTTTAAGAAAGTGTCTAGATTTTATCCATGTTATAAAACACTTTACCAAACGCTTCTAAGCTAAGCTGAAGCAGTTTATTTAATTTTAATTGCTTTTTTTGTGTGTGTGTGATTCTAAGAGTTCAAATTTTCAATACAGTTCAGAAGTTAAGAGGTGATATTTGTATTTTTTTTAAATTTCATTCTAAAAATTAAGCATCTGCATATTGACAAGCTTTTATAAAACAGTTTCAATAATTATACTTTAAACGTACACAATTATTTTAAAATGGAAGAAAAAAAATCAATGCAGAAAAAAATAATTTTTTTCATCATCATCATATTTTTTATACACTCAGGGGGGAGAGTTGTAAATTATTAGCTTAAACTAATAAATAAAAATGTGTAATCCATCCCATTATTGCACATGTCCTGTTGCTTGAAAATGAATGTTCAAATTATCATCCATATCTCTGTCTAATGTAAGTGTAAATGTCATCCATATCCCATCCATATTTCATCCATATCTCTGTCTAATGTAAGTGTAAATGTCATCCATATCTCATCCATATCTCTGTCTAATGTAAGTGTAAATGTCATCCATATCTCATCCATATCTCATCCATATCTCTGTCTAATGTAAGTGTAAATGTTATCCATATCTCATCCATATCTCTGTCTAATGTAAGTGTAAATGTCATCCATATCTCATCCATATATCATCCATATCTCTGTCTAATGTAAGTGTAAATGTCATCTCTCAGGGCCCCATTCCAGCCAATCATCCAAGAACCATATCTTCATCAGCTACAGCTGGGCAGAGAAAGAGATGGTCAAAAAGATTGCAGCTAATCTCATGGTGAGCTTCTCCCCTCAATGCTCGGTTCTGTGTTGACGGAGGTTTTACACACCAGCTTTTTAAAAATTTAAACTACAAAAACCAGCTACAAAATAATTAGGGTCATTCATTATTGTTGTCGCCATTGCAGTACCTGGCCTACGCAGACGATGCAGCGCTACTGGGTAGACACAGTAATGACATAATTAAAGCATTCAGGGAACTTGAAAATGCCTCAGCCAAGGCTGGTCTTGATATAAATGAACCGAAGACAAAATATATGATAATGTCGAAAAGCTCCTACGCTGATGACAACATCAATATAAACAACCACAAATTCGAAAGAGTGGCTACATTCAAATATCTAGGGGCAACTATAAATGAGCATAATGAAATAATGTCGGAGATGAAAGAAAGGACAGCAGCAGGCAACCGTTCCTATTTCAACCTACAAAAGCTCCTGTGAAGCAAAATCCTCTCAAAGGGAACAAAAAAAGACAATATACACCACTATCATAAGACCAATAGTAACTTACGCTAGTGAGACTTGGAACCTTACCAGAAAAGCAGAGAACCTTCTCAAAACATGGGAGAGGAAAATCCTCAGAAAAATGTATGGCCCAGTGATGGAAAATGATATCTGGAGAATCCATACAAAACAAGAGCTATAACAATTGTACAAAGACCCACCCATAGTCGCAACAATAAAAAAAAGGCAGACTCCGCTGGGCGGGACATGTTGAAAGGAAGCCGAAATGTAGAGAAGCAAAGATGATGTACAGGCAGAAACCTAGGGACAGACGACTCACTGGTCGCCCAAGGCTGAGATGGATCAACGAGTTGGAGATTCATTAACACTTGTTGGGGGTTTGGGCATGGAGGCGGAAGGACATGGATCGATTTGATTGGAAGGATTTGATGGAGCAGGCCAGGGCTCTACATGGGCTGTAGGGCCACTGATGATGATGATTATTGTTGTCATGTTATTTTGGGACTATATTTGACCACAAACTCCCCCCAATCTCAACAAAATTGTATCAAAAAATGTATTCACACTCGTAATAAATCGTTGCAAATTCTTCACCAAACATTGGCGAGAACACTTTTGGATATCTCCTAAGCATGTCTGATACTCAGGCAAAGGTGCTCTGGGTAGACATATGAATAAATTCTACATGCAGGTTTTTTTTTTTAACATGCGGTGAAGATAATAAAATTAGTAATTTTGCCATTTTCTAATCTCTTTAAATTTTTTCATTACAACCTCCAGTTTTTTCTAACACTGTTAAACAAATATTAGTTAATTTTGATATTACATGCAGACCCTAAAAACTGCAAAGCTATTGAGAAGACTTTGAGCATTTTAATATTGTATGCTATAAATAATTGATCTTGACAAACCTCATTAGAACTTAATTTAATATGTATCACCGGTAAAGAGTTAGCAAAAATGTTTTTGTCGATTGAAACCTAATTCTTTTTTTTTTTTTTATATATATTCCATTTGATCTTATCTCAGGCTGAGGGTTACAAGCTGTGGGTGGACTGGGAGCAAATGGGTGGATCAACGCTACAGGCCATGGCGGAGGCGGTAGAGAACGCAGCAGTTGTTCTTGTTTGTATGTCAGAGAAATATAAGCAGAGTCCAAACTGCAGAACAGGTTGGTAAACGATTGATGTGGGCTGTATACTTAAACCTGTTTTGTTTTTTTAAAATTAAGCTCTGTTTAATAATGGAATAACCTTACATTCATCTTTCTAATCTTCCGGAGAGATAACTAGGAATGTCATTTGTGGGGGTTTTTTCGGGGCGGGGGGGAGGGTGAGGGGCACCACAGTACATAACAATTTAAATAAAACCTGCAAATTCAGGATGGGGGGGGGGATGCCCTGCCTTACCAAAATGAAGTCCCAGGCATTAACATGCTGCTTATTTAATATATTTAGTTATTAATGTTACGGTGTTTACATGAATTCAATTTTAAATCTTAATAATGTTTACTGAAAAAAGACATTTTTTTTTTTTTAAACATTAGTCCTGGCCTTTTTATGTCTAGTTCTCTTAAAGAAATTGATTGTATGAATGGAATTCCTTTTGTCGATAGATTTGGTATTGATGAATTACTTTTTCTTATGTCGTATGTGTCTACAATTTGATATAGTAGCTACTGTACTAAAAATAGAATAATTTATAATAAGCAAATTTGTTTTGGCTTAACTGTCTTCTTTAATTTTTTTTTGCTTCAATTCTTTTAATTTCTGCATGTTAATATTAATATCATCTCTGATAATCCTTTAAAAGTCTTCAAAGGCCAAAGCCATATTTTATTTCATATCACTAAAGTCAGTATTATCTAATATATCTATGAATGCATACGAAGCATTATTATACATTGGTCATGAACATACACCCTTTTTGCATTTTGATTTTCCTTGTAGAGGCTGAATACACGTTTCAACTGAGAAAGGATTACATCCCCCTTATGATGCAGAAACGTTTTCGTCCAGACGGATGGCTGGGGGCCATCTTGGGAGCAAAACTCTTTTTCGATTTTACAGGGAAATATCCATATGAGAAACCAATGCAGGTGAGAGGCTAATATAAAACAGTGCAAATTTATTTCTTTTGATTGAAACGTTTTTTTTTTTATGGTAACTCTAAATATTTTTAGTGGTGTTTAGAATTTTAAGCGAACTGAAAACTCATAACTCAGAGCAGGGGTCCTCAACCTACAGCCCCCAGGCAAGATTGGACCCACCAAAGATCCTTTACCCTGCCCTCCCACAAGCCATATGGGTACCAGGGTAAAAGTGACAAATATGGTATTGGACATTGATCATCTCTTTAGTCAAAAGCTAGACCCATACTTACCACATAGACCCATACTTACCATTTAGACCAATACTTACCATATAGGCCCATACTTACCATTGAAGCCCATACTTATCATTGAGGTCCATACTTCACATGGAGGTTTATACTTACCATTTAGGCCTACACTTGCCTTTGAGGCCCATACCTACCATTGATCGATATACTGACCTTTAAGGCCCCTATTTACCTCAGAGGCCTATATATACCATTGAGGCCAATATTTGTCATTAAGGCCCATACTTACCTTTAAGACCCACACCTACCTTTGAGGCCCACACTTACCATTTCAATAGGTTTATGTTGATTACAATTGATCTTAATGTTAATTATGTCATTTTTTTCCTTTATTTTTTTAGAGGGGGGTTGGGATTTCATTACAAATAAGATATGTGAGGCGTCCATATATTTTATTCCAAATTAAATCTGGCCCCAAATTATCTTAGGGAGAGTGAATCGGCTCCCTGATTAAACAGTTTAAGGGTCCCTGACTCAGAGTGTTCAATGGGATGGACTATTTACTTGTGTTTTAGATGAATACACATTTGTCATAACCACTGTTTGTCCATTGACCAGGGACTACTGAAAGAGCTACGGGGCCGGGGAAAGACAGCACAAATATCAGGGACCAAAAACGCCTCGGTTGGTAAGTTATTAGTAAAACAGTCTTAAATCTTGGAGCATGAATGACCATCTGTTCTTAATGGGATATCTGAGCAGACACCTGTCTGTGTTGACTGGATAACCAGCAATAATAATAATCTTGAATGACACAATCAGTTTCATTCCTAATGAACTTAGTCCCTTATTCAGTTTTAAGAGCTTAGCACTGTATTTCCCGATTTCCTTTATTCAACTTAAAATAATTGAGGCTAACTAACCCTCACTATAAGAGTGCTGGACTGCAATTAAGTTTTCAAGTGGACTTGTTCCCATTCTTATTCTTTTCTTTTCTCTTTAGGTAGGATACATATACATAAATATATATACATATATATATATATATATATATATATATATATGTATTTATATATATTTATATATATATTTATATATATTTATATATATATTTATATATATATTTATNATGTATGTATAATATGTATACATGTATGTATATGTATATATATATATATATATATATATAATATGTATATATATATATGTATATAATATATGTATATATGTGTATATATATATAGATATATTTATATATACAAATATATAATTAATATTTAAATAAGGTAAATTTATACATATATGAGTTTTTACAATTTTTTTTTGTTCTGATGAAGAAGTTTGCCCAAACATTTGCCACTGTATTCTGTGTAACGAATATTAAAGCTTAACCTATATTATTTTATTAACACAAATTTGTTGGTTCTCATCATCTGATGTGTTTATTAAGTTTTTTAAAATCTATTTTAAATTTTATGCTCACTATTTTGTCTTTTAGATTTATCCAACGAATTTTACACCTCTAAGTGTATTTAATAATACCATCATTATGTATCCATGTTATTTATCATGTGCTGTCATGTTGGCAGATGAAGTTGATGCCCACACTGAAGTCAACCATGTGGTTGCAACCAACGCCAGCAACCAGGCAACAGCATTGAGCCCAACAAGCGATTCGTACAATCAGATCAGCGCAGCATGTTTCAGCATGAGTAATGAGAATGTAGAGACCTGGCTTGTATCCAAAGGGCTGCAGAGGTTTGTGTATGTAGATGTTCTATAGATCTTTAAATTTCTTACTTCCTCATGCACGTCACACTTAGACATATATTTGAAAAATATCTTTATTTTTTTTTTCTAAATTATGTCTTTTGTCATACAAAAATCATTCCCCATTTTTTTTAAATAAATAAAGTTTTTTTTTTAATTTTCGCATTACATACAGAAGTGATTTCTTTCTTGCATCATCAAATAAATTATTGAAGACTCTTTTCCCCAATTTGTTTATATCACCTTTTCTACTGTATGCAACTTTTAAAGATTTTTTTGCATTTTCCATTTACTGAAATATTAATTTATTATTTATCTGATCACATTCAATCCTTTTCTTTTTATTTAATTCTTTAATTCTTTTTTTTTTTTTTTTTTTTTTTTTTTTTTTTTTTTTTTTTAT